TGATATTATTTTTCCGCGGTTTGACTTTCGGGAGACGTTCTTTATCTATCGGCGCGTGTTGATACTAGCCGCGTGTCTTTGTCGTCCCTTGGTAACGGGTGCTCTCTCAGTACAGGAGTACGGAGAGGTTGATCGTTTTGTCAGGTTACAATATATATTATAAAGCTATCGGTTGTGATACATTTTTGATCATTAACCTATTGTTGACGCTATTCGCTACCTACTTTAAACCGTTAGACGTGTCCAGGTTGACGGGTAAGGCCTGTTCCCCGGTTCTGCTAGGTTCCCGCGCCAGGTGTATAATACGCGAGCCGCGCGACTGTATGAATGTTATGTCGTACGTTGAAGACATACTCCGAACAATTATGCAATCGGGGTTCAAATCGCCTCTGAAGAACGTCGTTATCTCAGCGAAATGATCTTGAAAATCCTTCCAGGTGCTCGGATTGAAGGTGTAAGTAGTATACGGACCTATTAAGTCAATCGACGGGGTCGTATAACGGCCGTTGTCAGCGGTAATTGTGATGCGAAGATTAACGTCGCACGAGTCACCCGTATGGAAGATAGTGGTAAACCGCTGATACTTTGGCGGAAGACTCGCCATAATTTTTCACACTAACGATTCGGTATACGTCTCGCATCGATTGCTCGTTACTAACTGAACCCTGTATAGGCTTAATGTTTTATTCCCCCCCCCCCCCCCGTCACTATTATTGACAAGATATGAGGAGATGGAGTTGGAGGAAACAAAAAAAAAATAGGTATTTAAAATATATATAATATTGTATATTGCAAGAAACATCAGCTGTACAATTTTATTAAGAGCATAAAACCTTAAGCATGACCATTCTGGGCAGCTGTGGTGCTCCGCACGAAGGAGAGGTACTCATGACTATGCAGGGAGAGTAGCTCCACAAATAACTGGTACAGTGCCGGTGACTACAGGCCTTTCTTTTCCACACCCAGCCAAAGATCGTCCAATATGTTGTCCCTGGAGGCGTCATCCCCACAGCGATCGAGCTTCGCAATCAGCGAGTCTTTGCAGCTGTTAGCGCTGTCGGTGATCTCGCGTAGTCTGTTTATTTGGACGGTCACGCAGCACAAGACCTTTTGGAGATTGAGGTACGACACCCTCTTCATTAGGACCACGGGTGTGTACGCTCTAGCTCTTTTAATGCCCGAGTCATCGTTACTGGTAGACGACAGCACGGATGGTTTGAAAATAATAGCCCGCTGACCATACGAGTACGGGAAGATTATTTCGTGAGCGGGCGTGGAAATAGGTGTGTTAAAATCCTCAGGTACTTCCTTGATGTTGTCCTCTGCGATGAAGTATTTGTCGATGACGGTGAAGTGTTCGGCGACGATGGCCCAGTCGCTAGGTTCAAATTCCACATCGGAATAATCCTGATTAACGATGCGTATTACAGGCGACAAGCTTCCCGAACGATATAAAGAGAAGCCGGTGATTATTTGTTTCGAAAACGATCGGTTTAACCCGTACACAGTGGACAGTAGTACTTGCTTCTTGTACATGATTATAGCAAACGGTAGTATACGAACGGTGTGGGTATCTGAGCAGTACTGTCTAATGCGGTATCTAAAAACAGATCGTCGAAATATCATCGAACATATCCCCCCCACCACCACCACCGCCACACACCGTTTCCATAGGATACAATGAACAAAGAGGATATGGTCTTGACAGAGTATTCTGCTGATACCGCAGGATGTATCAGAGATGGCTAGATACTGATACCCTATAGCGAGTGATTCACTGTTGCGTGCATCTACATCAGCGTTAACATGATTCAGCGGTATCAGGTAAAAAAGAAAACAAGCGGCCGGGGCACGCGCGAGGGTCCACTGATGTACAGTCTGAGAAAACCAGTAAAATCATTAGAGAGGTACACTGAACAAAAAAATTTATAAAACTGTACGAGGAAGAAATGGCGCACTACGACGGCGATGAATTTTTGCGGCATAGGTGTATACAGAGGGCGAAGACACGGGCCCTCTATCGTTACGCAAACCTCGAGCAGTATTCAGAGGAAGAGACCATATGAGAGTGGTTGAGATTCAGCCATTTAACGGGCGTACTGTTAGTCTCGATATACATGTCGAAACTGGGAGCGCTGAACGCTGATCACCTAAACGGCAATAACCCCGACATGGTATGCCGTAAGGGTTGGTCCTTTGGTGTCAGACTTGTGATGCTACCGGAGCTGTCTATAGCGGCTATACTAGATAAGGGATACCGCGATTTCACACGGTGTAGCGTGACGCTGGATTTCATCTGTGATCAGCGTTGTAACGATAGCCCTTACGTACAGCGCATATGCCCCCACGAGTGGCTGACAAAAGACGAGTGGCGTATGTCCGACGATGGTAGTCCCAAGTGCCGCATCACGTATAGACGACCGATGGCCAGATCAGCCCTAGCGATGCTGAGGAGCAGTTGTGGACAGCCCATACCGGAAGAGTTACCGCGCCACGCACCTATGCGTCTGAAATCGCAGGCGTGGTTGGTGGCATTCAACCACCTCGAGAAATTACGCGAGAGCTACGTCACCCTATGGTGTTTGAGGACTATGCGGGCATACGAGACAGCACTATTCGCTCTGGAGAAACGCTGCAGCCTGACAGAGTTTATAAGGTGTGTTACCCTGGCGACGCGGTATGGTCCACCGCACCTGCAATATAAGGAACGCCGAACGAGTGTAGTCAGCATGCCCAGTGGACTTTACGCGTACCTGGAAGCATTCGACGACTCGTGGGAAGTTTATACAAGCCACAACGTGTACGATGAGGAGGGAGAGCACGCGGAGGAACCGAGCAATTTGGCGTAAACGCAATGGACACGCGAATAGCATCCTGACGCAACATTCGACACGTACGGTGTATGGCAATTTTTCGCGACGAGAGCTGCGAGACACTGCTGCAGGATGGTCGCGTCGGAAAGGATATCAGCGTGCAACTCATAGGTCGAGATATCGACGAGTTGAATGCTGTAAAAGATTGGCGCGATATTCTGGTAGCCACGGATTGTAAAATAGAGTAGCATGATTCGTATCTCTAATCCCTTACATTACGATGGCTAGATGGTGATGCAGCCTGGAACGGTGTGTGTCAGCAGATCGCTGCACTCCTGGCGCAACACCTCTATATCGTTTTACCCATATTATGGATACGCGGTATTTCGGGATCAGCGAACGAGCGATCGATAAATTCTGTATATATATTGTAACGACGAATCGCACAAATAAATGGCACCGCGAGAAATAATTAACAAGATGCTAAATTATTGGGCGCCAGATATAACCAGAGTTACACCGCTGTCTCCTAAGGACACCCGGGCCAGCTCTTATGCGGTGGGGTCCTGGGTCTGGGAGACAATAATCAAAATCTGAAAGTTAATAACAACAAAACAACACTAAAGGGGCTTGGAGAAATTAAACAGATCCGAGGTTTCGTTTAACAGCACGGAGCCCACAAACAGGCCCGCTTTATTGAACACGAGAAAAATAAAATCAAACGTAATATAAAAACAGAAGATAAAATATAAAATATAAAATACTGAAATTGGATAATACTAGAACGCAGGAAGGAACAGCGGTTCCGCAAACTACACGCGTGAGGGAACGTCGGTTCCCCAACACCTAGGACGCGTGTTTCGTCCTCTCGACGACGAGACGCTTACCGTGAACGATACAATATGTCTTCTGTGATACAACTTGTTCAAAACGAAACCACCGGCCAAGACGGCAAACTAGTCGAGAGTCAATATCCTCGGGAGTTCTTCGGAACTCGGGGCCAGCGCTAGCTCCCTCATCCTCGCCGGGCCCTCCTGGGCCAATCATCGACGTCGAAGGTACTCGCCAATTGTAGGCTCTCGCGCTAACTTCAAAACATGCTACTGGATTCAAATACATTTTATAATAATTGTATCGATCATTTCTATCAACTTAACCCTACGAGAAGGACGCGGAACGATATAACGTCTATAACCGGAGCCTCATTGTAAACGATATAATTCTTTACTTTGGAGGACAGTTCCGCTAGTTTATTCTTAATCCTAGTCCTCGCGACGGATCCTGTTCGCTGGACTCGGAACTCTTCGGGATGTCACAACTCGTTGCCGTAGCTAGGGTGTCCGGATACTTCGTCCGGACTCCTGTCGGGACGGATAGGTGGTGGAGGGTAGCGACCCCTCGCACCTGGACAGCTTTCAGAGCCTTCCATCCTCTTCGGTACTGGTGGCGTTCCCTTCGCGGGACGTCCGTATCGGCGGTAATGCGAGATCGGTATGATCCAGTGCGATGTCTTATGCTGTCTCGGCTTCCCACTTGATTCGGGAGCCGTCAGCTGCGGGGTGGAGGCGCCTGGTGACGTAGTGCGTCTCCACGCTCCCTCGCGGGACTGGCGGCGACTTCCTTCGAGCGAGGCTGCGACTGATGGTCTGTCTAGGCGTGGCTGCTCTTTACTCCCTCGGTGCAACGTTGATGGTGGTGGTGGCCAGATACGAAAATGAAATAGTTGTACGGAACAAAAATAATTAATCTTATGTAATTCTAATACGATCTTGGACACTGGAGTTCTTGGCTGGTACTTTTCGCGACTCTCCCGAGGGACGGTAATGCGTCCCGTATTTAAAACACGCTAGTTCTACACTCGGGACCTTGCGACGTGAATTTTAACGTCACAATATATATATATATGTTTGTGAAGGGGTGCATATGGGGTCCAAGTGTACATATGGCAGATTGAGTATACATAGCTCTATATTTAACAATGGAAGTATAAAAACGTATTGATATCACTTTGTATATTGCGGGAAAAAAGATATAAGTCAATTTAGTTATTTTGTATGAAAGGGGTGAAAGTGGGACCATATATACTTATGAAACGGTAAATACGAGTTCACTATGAATGAAAATATCAATGCTAAAAGGATGCATGTGTAAATCTGTGCACGAACAAAATGATCATTATCGCAGAAATAGTCTTCATTTCTCGTTTATTATATTAGCTATTATCATATGCTGTTACATAGAAACCTTGTCTTGTATGGAAAGTACGTCGTCAGACGTTTAGCTCCCCTTCTTTATCTGGTTGCTGACCCATGATTTGCTCGACGCTAAGTTGCGATTAAAAATTCCAGGATTCGCATCAATTATTTCTTGGATCATTTGAAACGAGGGAAGGGTTTTTGTCGCGATGCTCTGACTGAAATATCGGCGTGCGATTTCCTTTTCTTTCTCATTCCATCGAGTTCGGCGGCACTTTCCATAAGGTGATGCTGAAAAAATTTGTTTGAATTATAAACTCACAAAAGTACTTGACATACATATAAATCCATTTTTCATACTCGATCGTTTTTTTTTCGCTTTCGGTTTCGCGAATATTTCATCATCAGACGAGTTCCCTTTATCGTAATTGGTATCACCGAATTCTGGTTCCTGATCACCAGATAATTGTGTGGCTGGATTTTCGTTTGTATGTCGATGCTCGTTGGTCCCTATTCGTATCTCGGTTTCCGAACGGTTAACAGATGTTCCAAGCGTTGAGGAACCAGTCTTACAAACGTTGCCTCCGTCGTCGGAATCACCTTCGGAATCGTCGTTTTTTCCTTGCACGGCCTCTAGAAGCTTTGAAACGTGAAGAATTTCTCGTGATATGATGGGTTGCCGATAGTAGTCTTTGTGAATTTTGTCGGCATAGCCTAAGAAGTTCGCTAAATCAGATATATCATTGTCTGTCAAATTAAAAGTTATGCACATCGTAGCAATTTGTTTTCGAAGAATCGTTCCGCGTAATGTTTGTGGATTCTCAGCACCGCAATCGACTGCAAATTTTCGTATGAGCTCGCAGGCGCGAAAATTTTTGTAATCACCCTTGAGGGTTCCAGGAATTCCAAACAAGTATGGAATTCTTTTATTCACAAGCGCGGTGGGTCTATACTTCAGCAATAATTCGCATCATACAAGGAGCTCCCTATGCAATAACACAGGCACAGTGCGACACAACTTGTCGCGAATCGTGAATCTAACGTATTTCATCGCAGCCCGCTTTTCGTCCGGTGTGAACTTCGTGTACGCCTCGCCAATGGTACTGTTGTCGATCTTTTGCTGACTTCGAAAATCGTCTATGAATATCCGCTCGATTTCCCCCGCTCTGCGTCGGTTGAATAGCTGTATCAAAATTAACGTAGCCGCAGCCAGTTTCATCCAAACTGTTTGGGAGAACTCTTTGTTCAAAGCATCATAATTTTTCCTAACCATATTTCTTAGATATATTTGTCATTTTTGTATATCGTTTTTGGATGGTAGGACGGTTTACACTTTTCTCTTCCTATGCGCTTGAGTTTCGAGAGCAGTGCGAGCAATACTGGTTGTGAAGTCATCCGTTAAAAGCTTGATAAAATCTTCTACATAAGTTTGGTTTGCTTTGTTTTGTCTCTTGATTCATACTGAAACGCAGAGTTTTCCGATTTGTTTGATTAGAGTTCCGAGTGATGTGGCAAGTAAAGGTACTTTGAAACCCGTTTGGGATTTAATCAGACCGACAAGCGATCGTGGCATCGTAATTTTTCGGATAGAAAACGCTGAGAAAATCATGAATGTTTTTCTCACGCTTCCTTATTTCGATAAGGAACCTTCCAAGTTGACGTAACTTTTGACGAATCATATCGTAAAAGTGCGGGTCTTTATACTTCTGACATAGCTTATTCCCGAAGAGAATGACTAGTTCGTCATATCGGATGTCCTTCGCTACGTCGTCTTCCTGCATCGTCGGAAACACTCCTTTGCGAAGAATATCACAGGCTTGTGGGTGAATCCGACCAATGAGTTTTTTCGATGTCGATAGTTTATTTCTGCATTTTGCAGAATTCTGTTGAGCGCAGCGCCTGTAGTGATGTCGAAGAGAGCTCTTATCATAATCCGCGAGACATGACGGGCACGTTACGAAATCAGTCGCGGTTTTGCCATATTTCGCATTTGGTCGTCTGGAGACTTTCCGTTCACCGGTATTTACCGAGCGATTAGTATTGAAAAAGAATTGCCCCCTTTTTCGAATTTTAGCCGTAATCTTCTTTCGCTCACCCGAACCTTTTTCAAAGCTCAAGAATTGCGCAACATCTTCTTCAGTCTTATGCAGTCTTATGACGTGTCGACTTAATTTTCCTTGCTCTTTCTGGCAGTATATACAGAAGTCCTTTTTGATTCTGGATTCAACGGTTTTTACGAACATTTCATTATCGTCTGGTGCGCTGTGTCCTACTTTGTTGACCATGAGTGACGCGTCCAAGTCAGTAGATGCGTTACACGAACTTATGAGTCGTCTCCCCGTATCATCAGCGGTCGTGCCTTCGTTTTCATCCTTAGTACTATCATCGGAAGTGTTCGAATCAGGCACGTAAGATGATTCATTGAAGCAGTTGCCCGTATCAGAATTCGGATCATCTTCTTCTACAATGGTAAAGATTGCGCAAATCAATATAAATTGCATTGGAATACATCAATATAAATTCTACTGCCTGAGACAATATAATAATTTTATGAAAAAAGAAGAAAAATTATTTCGAAATGTTTGGAGTGACTCAGTCATCAAAAGTTTTACCTTCATGATTACTATGGTTTGGAAGTGTTAGCTCAGTGGAAACAACTTCCGTACACGTGTTTTCCGGTGTGGGATTGGACCTATGTTAAACGAAATAAAGTTTTTAGTCGTGATAAAGGTAGATAAGTACAGTAAAGTACAGTCTGTTTAGAAATTACATTGCGAATAAAAGAGCATAAACATATGTAACTTACGCTCTGAGTGCAGTTATACTAATTGAAGCAGCATTGTAAATATCTTCGGGGTGTTGGAGTTTCCCTGGATTTGGTTCTAGAGTATTGTTCCGTTCATTTAACGGAGCCTCGCACTCATACACGTTGAATGTGTCATCTTTCCAAACCCAATTATCATCGTCAGTCAAGGGTGTATAGAGATCTACAAATCAAGTAATTTAGGACCCTGCGTAATGCTTATCGAGAAATATAGTATTAAATTGACGAACCGTCATCTCCGAGTGTTACGTTTATCGGTAAGGTGAAAATAAGACTAGAATCCGATGAGTTTGCATTGAGATTAGATGTGCCGACTCTAGCAAGCTCGGTTAATACGTGATCAGAATTCGGGGACGACGGAAATAATGGCTGTGATGATCCGCCAATTTCTGATTCGATACGGTGATGCTCATCTTCCGGTTCCGATGTCGAAGCAACACTATTTTTTTCCTTTTCTATAAATTAGCAATTTAGTTTCATCAGCAATGCAGTTAATCTACAGCAATTATCCATCGAAACATCACGAATGGTTATGGACTAGAAGGTTCAACTCGTTTGTAAATACTGTCGATGAATCGGTTTGAACGTCGCAGTCCGCTTCCTCGTGCGTTTCCAACGCTAAATGCTTTCCTCCCTCTTCAACTGGCTTCTTGAGAGTGATACACTTACATTCTTCCAGTAAATTTTTCGTTGAAATGATTTGAGAATTTTTCTCTTCTATAACTAAATAATTTATTTTTATTAGTCAATATTAACATTTTCGCAAATCAAGCTGCAAATCTAGAGTACGCTTCGTTGAGAATCTTTACGTACATGTTTTTTGACTTGAAGAACTGAATTCACGTGCGAATTCATGATTAGACGACGTCTCAGATCCTCGATCTGTCGCTGGACCATTTATATTACCATTATCTTGCTGAGAATCGGTTTCGATTTCTAATTGTTCTCTTTCCAATTTTAACTTCAACGCGGTAAGCTCACTCCTCTGTACTATAAATTCAAAATAGATTTTTAATTTTTAATGTTCAGTTTCTTTTTTAATGCAAAACACTATTACTAAAAAATGAGAAGAAATAGCATCGATCGTTATTTTTCTATTTCTCTACTAAGTTCAGATATAATATATCAAGATTTCTGCACGTACAAAAAAAATAAAAGCATATACCGTAAGTAGACAAAATACGGATGAGAGATGGGAAAATGTCGATGAAAACGAACAAATCACAACAAAAACTAAGTGTTAAATAATTAGGTATTTCAAACTATTTTAAATAGATATTTATGTTCGTGGAGTTACTATATTAAATGTTGCATTATTTTATGATCGATGATATCATATTCAAAGCATTCGCTATTTGAAAATTTGTTCACAGCTTCCATGAACTGACATTGCATCTTCGAAATTCTCACATTAAAAAAATATCCTACGTAAATTGTGTGAACAATTGGTAAATGCAAAAATTTTTTCGCGCGTGCAAGCCATGAAATAAAGGACAAACAGAGTCTGCCTCTTGATTCCACGTGCTGAAACATATATAACAGTACTTACCGTTTAATGCCACGACCTTGCCTGCATATCGGGACCCTTTATATCGAACACTACATTTGTCTCCTTTGGTATTTATATCGGTCTCTTTGCAGATACAATAAACATCATCGTCGAATAGCACTAGAGCGAACATATTGAATTACCACACGACACTGTAGTCCTCACACAAAAAGTACGAACGCATCGAAAAATACGTTAGCATCCTTCTGCATTCGGCAAGAGACTGACTCTCATAAACACTGTGCCAAGTGCAATGTATCGAATGCAGTTTTCAAAAGTATTGTTGACACAATGTTTTTAGTCTCGACAATGATCCAATAAATAATTATATTATTAAATAATTAAATAATTTGATAAATTATCAAATTCGTAGTATATTATTAAAAAGTATGTAATTATTGCAATTATATAAAAAGTAAATTATTTTTTTTTAATATGTAAGGGTACAAACCGGCACCGTCTTTATATTGTAAGGGTGATTACGGCGACCGACACTGAGGACAAAGGCTCAGTACCCGGAATCACTCTTACAACATAAGAAATGGTATCCACATGTACCATTACATATCGAAAAATTCTTCTTAATTCCATTCACGAATTTCGCAAGTACGCGATCATCAATTCTGATTGGAAATCTTCACCACCGTCATGCAAGATTGTTTGCCTTGCAACATTACTAGCAAATGCCTATAGCATAGTAATGTCGAAATGGTCGAGCAACCGAACTTGTTTAGGATTGTGTCGATTCACAGTCAATCAGAGCATGGATATGTCGACAACAATGCTGCGATATTTTCAGAATTTCTTAAATTCATCAGAACATGGAATTCTCATGGCAATCATCATATTGACCAGAAGCCCTAAGATTTACAAATGTAGGGGAAACAAGTGATTTTTAGCTTTTATAATTTATAGTTTATCGACATTTGTACAATTTTATGCCTATTGTAATGGTACATATCAGGTCCATTCACAGTGTTTTAAAGGTAATTGCGGGAACCGACTCTACAAACAACAGTTAAGATCCCGTAATCACCGTTATGACACACCGACTGATCCCCATATATACTATTACAATACAAAATAACAAATTTTGATTTTACTGTCGAATTTCGAAAAACGCAAGTTGCATACCAATTTTGTTTCGTATTTACGTGATTTTGCGGTCTTCTGAGTAAAAGATAGTCATTGTCTAAAGATAACGTGTACAAATTTGAAATATCAAAAGCATTATTATCTCCTCATTCGTGTTCTAGTTGACTCTGAATCGATGCAACCGTAATCGGGTTCAGTTGATTATCAATCAAGTTGCATGGTCATTTTAACATTGATATGTTAGAAACATTTTGTTGTAACATCAAAAGGCAAACAATCGCGAATGACTACGCGGAAGAATCTTCACGAGAATTGATGATCGCGTGCTTGTAAGAATGAAGAACGGATGAAAATCTATTTTTTATTTTCAAATGTAATGGTAAATATTGGTACCAATCATTATGTTGTAAGGGTCATTACGGGGATCGACGCCTAAATTAACTATTCGGCCCTTGCAAGCACCTTTATGATACAAGGACTGGATTCTGTATACAGTGTACCATGAAAATACAGGACGAGAAAAAAGTTACACCGATGAATTACGGATATAAACTCGGTTGTGATTTTTACACTTGCCTACGATTTTACTTTTTTCATCACGTCTAGTCAATGAAAATGACATCTACTAGCATACCAAAATTATTACTGCGTCCATTAAAAATGTTTTCTTCGCAATATGTACACCAGTACCCGTATTCACCATTTGCTATGTGATACCTCGGTGCCCAGAAGGTACATTAAATATATAGTGAATTAGGAGGACCGGACCCAACTTTTGCCGATGCATCTAGAAAAATGCGGGGACCGTCCCACTATGTACCAAATGTCCCCATTTATATCATTAGAGCCTCGAATTGGCCCCGGCAAGTACCCCCTCACATACAAAACATTTCAGTCGTAAAAAAAATATATATATTATAACGTGACAAAACGATCAGCCTCTCAGTACTCGTGTACTGAGAGCGCACCCGTTACAAAGGGACGACAAGGACACGCGGTTAGTATAAACACGCGCCGATAGATGGAGAACGTCTCCCAAACGTCAAAACGAGGAAAGTTAGTATCAAAATAATCCGATAGATGATTAGCGTTTCCCTCTAACAAATATCGGATTATAATTCGATAAATACTACATTTCAACTCAATCGAGATAAGAAAGTTAACCAATAATCCGCATCGTTAGAGGGGATAATCGAAAGTTAGTCAAAACTCCGAATCGATAAAACCACCGACATTCAAGGGCACAAGTAATGAGCGTCCGCTCACATTCCTGAAAAACATGTCGAGTTACTTGAGGGCAACGCAGGCCCAAGGCGAAGATTTTCGCTTCATCGTGGGCAATAGTCTAGATGGGACAGCGCAAGATTGGTGATAGGTGCAGGCAAAAGGCAAACAATCGTGAATGACTACGCGGAAGAATTTTCACGAAAATTGATGATCGTGTGCTTGTAAGATCGCGAGCATCGGCAAAAGTTGGGTCCGGTCCTCCTAATTCACTATATATTTTATGTACCTTCTGGGCACCGAGGTATCACATAGCAAATGGTGAATACGGGTACTGGTGTAAATATTGCGAATACAACATTTTTAATGGACCCAGTAAGCGGATCGCAGGTGCAGGAAGACAATATCAGTTCAGTCCAACAGTTTGAGGAAAGATTCAAGGCCCGGTATTGGAATAGTGAAATCCAACAAGAAATAGGACTAAATCTGCATTACGGGAAATACGACCCGTCCAAACAGAAAATGTCTGCGGTTGAATATGCGGCAAAAATATTCAACGAGGCCAAAGACTTAGAACCACCTCTCCCCGCAGCTAAAATTATTAGTAGACTCGCGGACCACTTCTCCAAAACCTTAAGTCTGATTATACACGGAAAGCAGATCGACGATATAAAATCGTTCACGGAGCTACTCCAAAAATACGAGAGTCCGTCCCGGCATGAACTGGAGAGGAACACGAGAAGCGAGCCAGCGTCAGACAGAAAAAAGACGAACTCGGGAGCAGCAACCACGTCTTCAACAACACCTCCGCGGAACAGTCAGCCTCCACCAAGACAACCTCACCAGCAGTCAACTCCGAATAATCGTCCTCGACCGAGACAGATCCAGGGGAAGAATCCACCGGAGGGAGCCACGGCCCGAAGCCAACTGCCTCGGAAAACTGAAAAACGTTGTGGCCACTAAGGTGCTCCGCACTAGCCAGGGACACCAAGGCGCGTCCACAACGTATATGACGAAATTGGAAAAGAACTCACCGGACACGAATGAGATAAACACAATAACTTTGCTTGGCTAGAACCCAAACACATCTTGACGTGCAACAATATCTTCGAAGAAAAGGAAGAAGAAGCACAAGGAGACGGCCGTCCACTGCAATGCCCAGAAAT